TGGCTCGGGTGCGAGTGGTGCGAGTGCGGGCGCTACAGGCAGCTCCTCGGGCTCTCGCTCGGGTTCGAGTGCAAACCCTAGCGCCACGGGTAGCAGTGCTGCGATGCGTGGAGTCAGCATGCCACTCGGCAGCCTACTCGTTGTCGTTGGGGGTATGCTCCTTGGAGCTGTGTCGCTGTTCTAGGCCTCAGGGGCCCGTGCTGCGGAGCTGCGGATGACGACTTGGTGGGTCGCGTGGGGTGCTGCGCCGGATATTTCAGCTAGCTTGATACCGATTGGCTTGGACCTTTTCTCTTTCTTGATAGGATAGCTTTATATACCTCTTGCCTTCTGTCGTTACGAGTGACTGAATGCGATCGTTACTTGGGAAGAATTGAGTGAAAGGAGAAGGGAAGACCAGTCTTGCGGCGAGATTTGGCCGTGGATAGTGTGTGCTCGAGGTCAGGGCAGGCGCTCGTTCCATTCGGGGCTTCCCTGTGATTATGTTGGCAGCATTGGCGCTTTTTATGCATTTACTCGGGCTCTGGTGAAAGCTCTTGGCTCATGTTGTTGCGAGTACACATTTTGACGGTGTGGATGAATGCCGTCGTTACTTGGCAAGATCTCAGTGAGAGGAGCGGGAAACACCAGGCTTGCGGCGAGATTTGGCCGTGGATAGGTGAGGTACCGGTAAACCCTAGGGCTGCCTTGATACTATGACGGGGATTCCTTTTATGCATTTACTCGAGCTGAGCGAAAGCGCTTTCCCCTGGTCTGAACGAAAGAACTTGCACGGACCGATATTATTTATCATTCTATAATGACCCGGTCTTTGCGCATAGCGTTGAGCGGATACTTGGCGTGAGGTGTGTATCCAAGTTCAAGGCGAAATCGAGTTCAATTTAAAGACTTGTTCAAAGTTTGAAGCTCGAAGAACCGTGTTGCGCTCTCGTTCGACTCGAGTGTTCGGTCTTTCCGAACGGGTTAGTCTTTGTACTTACAAGCACTGCTCGGCAGAGCAGGAGAAGACGAGGGCTCAACTTTGGTAATACATTGGTAGGGGATAGCGAATCCATCGCGCTAGCGCTGCTCGTTCGAACCGGGCCACTCGATCATAGCCACGTAGAGTGTATACTTTTTTTACCAGATGGACGCAGTTTTTCGAAGCTTCTACTCCTCTATTCAAGCCTCAACTGGGTTTGTATACAAGTGAAGGTTGTGGATGGAGCCATGCTGGTACTTGGCTGACACAGCCCGTTCGATTCGGGTATTCGCTCTGGGTATTGGAGAAACGTGTTGATTTTTATGAATCCTCGACTCCTTGGCGTGGTGCGGGTATACAGACGGTAATGGCGTTCGCTCAGCGCTGTAGTTGAAATTGGTCTATCCGCAGCGCAGGAAGGGCTGCTTGAGGCTTGCTGCGTAAATCTCAAGTACAAATGAGATGTTTCGTTCGAGTTCCGTTTTCTAAGCACTAGGTACGCCACCCGTTTGATTTGCGTTTGATTCGGTTTTCGCTCTGAGTTGGCGGGGCAGTCAAAGGTCCTGACTCGGACTCAAGGATGCTTGCGCAATGCTTACTGGAGCGCTCGAGAGAAATCCCACTTCAATGGAATTCACGATGTAGAAACTCTCCGTCTGTAATAAATAAGAAGCAGACAATTAATTGCATCCTCAAGGTGGTCGATTGTTTGTTGATCATCAATCCCCCTTGCTAAGAACCGTCATCTACATACGAAATCTGCAAAGCTGGCTCAGACACTAGACTCGGTGCCGTACTCACGTCCACCGTAGGACCATATTAACCGCCATATGTACACCGTATTACTCTGGGGCTTCTAGTGCGCGGGCGGCGACCAAACTGTGCTTGTCTCAAGCTCCTGTACTACGTACTACTCTGGTACGATCCATCCCCATCGACTAGCTCGGTTGCCGCTCTGATTTAAACCAGTGGCCGTCTGGACCAGATCTGACACAGACCCATGTTTTTGCTCTCCCTCGTCGCTGTCCTCGTCGCGGCCGCTCTCTATCTCCGAAACGTCGGTTCACGTGAAAGAGGACTTCCTCCGGGACCGCCTACCTTCCCAATCATCGGGAATTTACACATTTTGCCCACAGAATTCATTCAATACAAGTAGGAGTTGTCGTTCCTTTGATGCAGCGGCTGATCCTGGCTTTAGATTCACAGAATGGGCACGCCAGTACGGGGGAATATACTCGGTGCGCTGCCTGTACCATATCTTCCATTCTCTCTGACCTGAAACTCAGCTCAAAATGGGAGCAAGTACGACTATCGTCCTCACTTCTCCGAAGCTCGTAAAGGAGCTGCTCGAAAATCAAAATGCGAGCACGGCGGATAGACCTGCATCCCACCTCGTTGAAACAGTGTGTGGTAGATTTCATCTATCGTTTGCGCGGTACGGTGAGTGATCCACTGACAGATGCAATACCAACAAATTCACTGTGCCTGTCCAAGGTGCTCTCTGGCGGACGCAGCGCAGAGCGGCCCACGCCATCTTGGGGACCCAAGCGGTGACGCGACTGTTCCCAATTCAGCGTGCGGAAGCGGCGCAATCCCTCCATGATATCCTTGCATCGCCCGAGGTAAGTGGCCCTTCCATGCCTCCCATCGACACTCGATCCCATTTCCAGTCCTTCTATGCTCACCTTGAACGATACGCCCACTCAGTCATCATGTCAGCATTCTACGGAACCCGAGCGCCTCGGTGCGAATCACCCGAAATAACTGCTTTCTTCGAGATGATACACGACTGGTCCGCATTGAACGAACCGGGAGCCGTGCCACCCGTCGATTTGTTCCCCATCCTCAAGTTCGTCCCGGGGTGGTTGGCCACATGGAAGCGGACTGCCATGAAGGTCAGAAAATTGCAAAGGCAGGTTTATTTTGGCCTGTTGGACAGGGCGGCGGAGCGGATAGGCATGGGAGAGCGAAATGGCAGTGGCATAGAGGACGTGCTGGAGAGGCAGGACGAATTTCGGCTACACAGAGAGATGATAGGGTGCGTTTTCAAGTCTGATTTTACCGCCACCTTTGATGGTGTACTTCGGTCGTTCAGGTATTTAGGCGGTACACTCATGGAAGCTGGATCCGAAACAACTTCCAGTTATCTCAAGACCCTCATTCTTTGCATGATCGCGTATCCGGACGTTCAGCGGAGGGCCCAAGACGAAATGGACCGCGTTGTAGGCGTGGACCGGATACCCACTCTCGCACACTTGCCACACTTGTGTTATATCCAGGCTCTCATTCTCGAGGCGCGTGCATTGCCATCTTCATCTGCAAAGTGAGAGCGTTGACGGACCGCAGACTCATCGATTCCGTCCCACTCTTCCTCTTCTCCTACCTCATGCGACAACGGCTACCGAGAAGGTCCGTGTGACCTGTGTTTCCTCAGTTTCTGAAATATTATCGTGTCTTCAGTGCGGAGGGTATGTTGTTCCCAGTGGGAGTACCGTCTTTGTGAACTTGTGTGAGTGGGGTGTTCAATCTCTTCGTCATTCAAACTGACTCATTGGTACTCCAGGGGGCATATTCCAAGATCCAGGTTACTTGCGTCTTCAACCTCGCATCAAGGTCTTTGACCCTACTTTTTCCGCTCAGATTTGTACGACGATCCAGAGAAATTCGAGCCAGAGAGGTATCTTCTCACGGAAAATGGAGCAAAACCTGGAGTCGACGCCGATGGCCTGAAGCCGAATCTATCTTTTGGCGTCGGACGTGTTAGTGATTCCACCCAAGGACTTCCGCCAGTATTCACTCGCACCTTTATAGAGATCCTGCCCAGGGATTCATTTGGCCGAGAATTCTATCGTGCGTGCACTGATCTTGTTTGGATGTTCTCAACTCGAGGACCGTCCCAGAACATCAACGTCATGAACCTCATCTGGGCTTTCGACTTCCAGCCAGCGATGGACGCAGCTGGTAACCCCGTACAACCCGACATGTTCGCATACCACAAGGTGCATTTACCCTTTCGGACACTTGCGCATGCTGATGTTGACTTTGACGCGAAGGGACTTGGAACGGCACCATTGCCGTTCAAATGCAGAATTACCCCTCGCTCAGCGGAGAAAGCTGATATCATTCGTCGTGAGTTTCTGGATGCGGAAGAGGTGTTTGTGAAATTCGAGTCTGGGCTTGGCGAGGAAGACAAGGAGTTTTTGAGAAAATCCCGGCGACAAGGCTGAGCCACAGACTTGTTTAAATAGGCTAACCTGCAGCTCAGATTTGCTTTCATATATATTGAAATTTGAACATCACGCATAATCATTCAACAACTTTCATGACGGTCTGCTCAAATCTAACTGAGCACACCCTGTACAGTGAACCCATTCCAGGTCTCGTCATTTTCTCGCTGACAGCATCCAGGAATTTTGTTTCAATCCGGAGGGTGAAATCCTGGGTGTACTGGAGCTGTCGGGCGATAGACTTACTCCCGTGCAATCTGCGGCTAAGCTGCCTTTTGACCATTTCCTTGCAACCCAGTACAACCTTGCGGGAAAGGCGGATCGTCAGACCCTGGAGAAGTTCACAGGACAAGAGGATTGCTCTCCACGGTTATCTTTTTATTCGTCCTCCTCAGTCTCTGACATCTGTCAATGAGAACCGGTCTGCTTCAATGTGCTGGCTCGAATATCCCTGGTGTTTGGTCCTTGGACCCCGCCAAAACTCGACCGCTGACCAACGAAGCTTCGATGCGTTGAGGCGAGGATTTCCGGCAGTCCAGCTGCGGACGGATCTGTCGGGGAATTCATGGGGTGCCAGTGTCCACTGTCCATGACGGTCCACGGCAATTCAATGCACTCCAAGTCTTTCAACCTCAAGCGGAGTTGGTGTTCACTCAAGACCCAAAACGAGTGTTGCGAGCACAGTGGCCCAAACGAGATGTTTGAGATTTATTCTTTTTCTCCGATGATTTTTGCGGGGTCTCCGTGACTACCGATGTTTTTATTTCCCACAAGTGGCCCTGCGTTGTTCAAAAAGACGGACCAGACGGCGATGCATTAAGGGGGAATCGAACCCCCGGCGGGTCGAAAGACGACGCTGTTACGACATCATGGCAACGACCCAGGTTACCACTACCCCATTAATGCTGCAACCCCATGTCAACCTTGGTGTCTATATTGCCGTTGACATCCTCCGCATTTGCCCCGTTGGCGCTAATTGGGCTTCGTATGAGTTATGTCTCAGGAATTGCCAATTCTCGGTCGGTGTGTGTGTGTGTATGTGTGAATAAGTAAGCTCAAGGCGAGATCAAGGCGAGATTGCCCTTGACGAAGGTACGTACATTCAGCCCACAGGTAAGTACCTTGCCTTTATCCTCGGATATGCCGAATCTTTCTGAAACGGTTGAGCGACTCGGATGCGGGCTCAACTTAGGCTCAACCAGGTACCAGATAAAACCGCAGCAGATGTTCAAATGAATATCGGGCGCGTGCGTCTTCTAGAAAAGAACGATTCCCGCGGCCACTAGTACTGTGTTGCCTTGCTACAAAAGCCATTCATTCGATCCGAGAGTTCGCCGTGGGCCGGTATCCGGGTTGCAGCCAAGTTGTAGCCGCACTTTTTCTGCAGGGTTGCGCTGACCAAACACCGTGACAACCTGATATTGAGCCGTGCTTCAGGGCTTCAACGTTCAATCTTCTGGTGTTCCAGAGTTATTTAATGAACTTTGAATGAACTTCAATTATGAATGCCAGCAACAAGAGTAAGTGGGCATAAGTATCCACTTACCGGATCGTATATCTCCTTGCGGAAGTGGTCGTTCGAATTGACGGGCCGCCATCCTGCGGTAGCACCCACCAGCTTTTTTTAATGACAAAGAGTAGACACGTAATCCGGAAGGTCTCGGTCACTTGATGAGCGGCCGGCCTTCTTCTCGGATGTCGCAATCATTGTCAGCCGTCTCGCACGCTCTGTCCCGCCCCACGACCGCGCTGCCCCGCACACCGACATGTCCACCCAAACCGGTGCTTTCAACGTGGGCTCCTCGGTGCTCTATCGTGCGTCGCGGTTCACATCTACTTCCAACGAGCCAACTGACGCCACACAGGATACGTCCTCGAAGGTCTGCTGGGCGCCGTCGGTCTCATCGGCATCATCATCTTCCTCCGCTCTCGATTCGCACGGCCGACGCCGAGGACGCCCATACGCGTCGGGCTGCGAGACATTGAACCGAAGGAGAAACCCCGGCTGTATGATATCTTTCTCGACTTGCCTGGCCGAGAGCTCGAGGCCGGGAAGGAACAGAGTCCGAGTCAAGAGTGGCCGGATATTCTGGTGCGTGGGCATACCACTCCGCATTGTCAGTGCTAAATAGCTGGGCGTAGCCTTTATCGGTGTGGGGTATCGACCCGGAGCCTGGCCACCCACCTCTAGCCCCCGAGCTCTGCGCATCCAACACGGTCTCGACTATCATCGCTATGCCCTCCATCACGACTCTGCCTGGCGACACTGAAGACCCTTTACCGTATCTCGAAATCGGGGTTACGGAGGTCGAGGTGCGATATTGGCCTGACGAAAGCTCAGCCGCCTCGGACGTACTCACCAAATGACCCTGACATGTCCTGTATGTATTTCTATACCTTTACATTTCGTGGAACTCGAGTCTACTGTCCCGAACACACTGCCTCGAACACTGAACAACCAAATACACCAGCCTTTCTTGGCCATCTTCCGTCTTTTACGCGGAGCCTCGAACACGCCTCGGACGCCAATTCATGTCCAGCGAATACCTCGGGAGCGTCAGGCTGTAAGCCAAGGTAGGCGGGAAAATGGGACCATTACGCCGTCATGAACCCTGTCCTACGAGTCGATACCTCCTTCCCTGCATGCATATAGGGAGACTCGGACGATGGGAACAAGAAACGATTCTTAATCGTTAGCTCATATTTAAGCGGCCGTCTGGCGACGGGGGTTCGTGACTCAATTCAGGTTTGGTTCGCCAAGCACCGACACCTGCAAAACGTCGGTTCATTTATTTGACTCCAAGCCCGGTGAGTACATCCAGCGCTCGGCCGTGAATAATACTCTAGGTTTCATGACCGGTTCTTGGTGCTGTTTTTGAAGCTGGGTCTATTGGGGCTTACAGAAACTGCCGCACTGCCGCACTTTTGCCACAGCATATGAATCTGACACCAGCATTGGCCTCCACCACCGCGACAAATTGTTTCTCCGCATTCTCTTGCACATGGATTATCTCCGTCTGCGGGTACCGATTGCCATGGCTATGGTTCAGTTTATGGTCGAGAACCCCGATACACCCCTCTGTGTGGACTTCGACTATCGGCGTGGGGCCGTGCAAGTCGACGTCCTTCCCCTCTCCCATTGGGATGGCTCGAGAATTATACTTCCGCAATCGCAGCGATTGGCGTGTGCTAGTGGACGTTTGATTGCACGCGCCATATGTATCGGGTGTGGGAGCAGGACATTCCACCCTGTCTGGGCCCGTTTTATGATGGTTTGAAGGACATCGCGAGGAGCGGACGGAGAGCTGGAGCCTCGGGTTTTGGAGTTGATCGAGAGGACGAACGAGAGTGGTGTGGTGGGCGTTTATTACGGGTAATCGAACGACTAGCTATAGATAGTAGTTGCAATAAAATACAGAACTGTGAGACCCTCTTTCCTTTCTTGGATTGTATGGCCGTGTTTGTATCCCTTCTTCACCTGCCGTCACATGGAATCACTGAAATACGCGCTTGTGCTCGTCCTGCCCGTTGCGTATCTCGCCCATCGGTATCTATCGACTACACCGATGCCCCCCGCCCCTGCTGAGCCCGCCCCCGCCGCTGACGCCAAGGAACCCGCCAAATCGGTCATGTCTGCTCCACGCGACGACCTCGCCCCACCCAAAGATGATCCCTTCACCCAGGCAGAGCTCGCAGCATTCGATGGGTCCGATCCGAGCAAACCCATCTACGTATCCATCAAAGGTTTGTTCGCCTCGCGTCCCCGCTCCTCCCTGCCACGTCGCCTCGTACTACCCACGCCACGTACTCAAGCATATCCACGCAGGCACTGTCTTTGACGTTACTCACAAAGCGGAGGTTTACGGCCCCGGCAAGTCGTACAGCATATTTGCGGGCAAGGACGGCTCTCGGGGGCTGGGACTGTCGAGTCTCAACGTGGAGGATGCTGTACCGGATTATAGCCCGCTGGATGCGAAGCACAGACAGGTGCTGGATGATTGGCATGCGTTTTTCTTGTGAGTAGTGACTCGTTCCTTTCCATCATCTATTTCTCAAGCTTAGCCGATGCATGGCAGAAAACGGTACAACATCATGGGGCGAGTCACCGATCTCCCCGAGATCCAGCCTGCTCCGGAGACAGAGGCTGCACCGGCGGACGACTTAAAGTAGTCTTCGGAATAGAACGATTCCCCTTTGTTTTTCTTCTGGTATTTCGTGCGTCTCCATCGTTATCGCAGAAAGCATTCCTTGGATAGCTATAGCTTCCAGTGTCGAAACTTTCTCTGTGTTCTTACGTGCCTCCTTGCATCCTGCCGTAGACGCTGACAAACCACAGCGCATACGATCGCGACTCCCTCGGTCAGTCTATTTCAATCTTTGTGGGACGTAAACCTGCTGTAAAGCTTCTCCCACCCCGACCTCGTGGCGCGCTCAAAGCTGCGCTGCCCCGTTTTGGTCTGCTGTGAAACAACAACGGACATGATGTTTCGCCTCCTAACTTTCCATGCTCGACTTCCCTGTCCGTCTTTTGAGTACCCTCTTACCCTTACGACGACGTCGTTTTTAGAAAAAGACCCGGGATAACAAGTTTTATTGCCGATTGGTTCGAGTGGAACGCCGTATACAAATATGCCGTCCTCGTTGCGCCCTCTTTCCCATAATCTTCAGTTTCTCATGTCGACGGTGAGTCAGGCTGATTCATGGTGGGTGGAACTAGGTACCGTACCGGTCCTTCTCAGGTTCTGCTTCAGTTGCAAGGCCAGACGAACATGGTCTGGACCGCCGCCGCCGCCGATGGGGGCTTGAAATATATGTCGCCGCACATTCTCGGAGGTTTTGGATGGTTCGATTGGGAATCCCAGCGCAGAGTCTCCAAAGGACACGCGTGGAGCTTCAGACCGATAACCAGTTAGACTGCCGAGTGCCAAGGGCATGATGTCTCCTAGCAAACGCGCTCGTTTCTCGACTTCTCTGAACGGGGCGTTATACAGCTCCTTGATTGGCGATCAAATGCCAGTGTGTTGATTTCGCAGATGCGGTAGAGGTAGGCCGACACATCATCTACCGGATACTTCAAGCCGGCCTCGAGAAATACCACTGTCCACGTTGATTTCTGATCCCTTTGCAACTCGATTCGTGCCCAAGTCCAACGCCACCTGTCGCAGACCCATATGTCGTGTAATCGAGCCCGACATCTGCGCCATTGCTTGCGGTGCAGCAAATGCCCCCACGAATCTGCGAAAATTTTCCAGGAAAAAGAAAACGGAGTTGCAGTTCTGATGCAACACCATTGGTTTCAGGCTGTCAACTCTATCCCACTGGCTAGTCCTCAATTACGGAGCTCCGCCGCTACACCCGAACTTCCTACCTGGGAGTACTCGAGGTACGTCATTTCACACCAGAAACGACCCCCCGCGAGATGCATCGAGATGCCCGGCAACACTGCGACAGACAGCACCTACGACGCCACAGGCGGGCCGCCACGGAGGTAGTTGTTCCAAGACTTCCAAATGCAACCGTACTCTTCTTATTAGGACAGTGGGTGGAGGGCAAATTCTGCATTCCTTGTACTCGTCTTTCCTGACAGCATGAGCTTTCCGGTGAGCTCTGCTACTTGTGAGGGGACGTACTTAACGCGGATTTACATGCAGGTTGGCACTCGCGTCTGTTTCTGGGATGCAACTGGGCAGCCTCGTTATGGGACTGTGCAAAGTATCTCTCGGGGAGGCGACGTAGGTGTACTTGATCCATGCCCAGTCCATTATTCACAACCAAACCGATTAGGGCACAGAAATGTTGAATATCAAGCAGGACTCAACAGGGACTTTGATCACCGTTCCGTGAGTATTCAATCCGCCGGCTGTATCCCAATTTAAAGTACCTCTTTTAGATCATCGTCAGTGTCG